ACATACTATGAGATGAAAGAGCGAGCAGTATCTGTCTGCAGCTAACATTGAAATAGGAGAAGATGGGAACAGCTGAGCTCTAGGACTTAGACTACTGTGGGCATCTGCATGTGGGTTTTAGATGCAGGCATTTGCGACAGTTAAGAGAAACTAAGAAATAAAAGAGGAAAGGACTAACCACGAGGGGATTTGTTCTATCAACTTTACAGGGATACAGGTATTCAGGGAAAGGCATATCCTCTGATAAAACACAAACAAAATGGGGTGGCTCCTGTGGCTCAAAGGAATAAGGCACCAGCTCTACATGCTGGAGGTGGCAGGTTCAAACCCAGCCCCAGCCAAAAACTTGCAAAAAAAAAACCACACAAACAAAATATACGAAACCAATATGTAATCACCCACACTTTCATATGGAAGATATAATGCAATTATAGCCCAGAAAGGAGAGAAGAGGAGGGCGAGGGGAGGGGAGGACGGTGGATGGGTGGAGGCAGGATAATTGGTGGGAACTCACCTACTGTGAATATTGCAAGGATACATATTAATAGTAGAGTATAAAAATCTAAACACAACAATTAAATAAGTGAGGTGAATGCTCTGTTAACCAGTTTGATATAAACATTCCAAATTATATATAAAATCAGCACATTGTTCCCCATAAATGCAGTAATGTTCACAGTCATGATCTAATAAAAAATAAACAAAACAGAATTTACTAAGATTGTAAAGAAAAACCTCCAATATGCTACTCTACAATTCAAATTGGCAAGAAACTGAAGAAATTGTTCTCCATAGTAAGTAATAAGAAGATCTGTCTGTATCTAGGTTAGGTACTTGTTGTGCAGGGAAAGGGAAGGGAAAAAAGCTATGGCTAAAATATTCATGGGGGGGGCTGCCCAAAAAACAATTAAAGAGGTAGCAGAGTACCCCAGTCAGTAGGTAGAAATAGCAATCAGAAGTGGGTTTGAACCCAAGCTTCTGTCTCCTAACTGGATGAACTTGACTTTGTATGACTGTTTTCATATTTATAGAAAGGTTCTCCTCTTCATTGTGTGGAATTTTCATGAAGGTCTTATGAGCTGTGTCTAAAATAATAGTGAAAGTACAGTACAAATGCAGTAAATTAACTCCATTAGCAAGATTGGATTGTCACTATGCATTAACAATTAATTTTTTTCAAGTCTGCAGGATTAAATATTGTTACCAACTCAAAAATCCATAAACCACGTTTGTGTCACACGCCTCAGCTATATGCAAGAATGTCTATGCCTGTGGATGCAGAAGGTAAGGGTGTTACCTTACCCTGCTAGAATAATAAAAGAAAAATTATGCTTTATTGGGTTAGGTTGAGATTAAAAGCTATTTTTCTAAGTATTAGATCTTGCTACTGCAGAAACTTCTTGGCAAGTTATCCTCAAATAACAATTTTCTTTCAAAAATATAATTTTTGAGTGATTAGTGTTATTCCCTCTCTGGCATCAAAATTGACTACATTTTTGTCCTAGCCTTCAATAGTCTTGATACTTCAGATTCTCCCTGTGTGCTGTGGATTTACTCCTTGAATTAGTCAAAATAAAATAGATTATATTGCAATAACAAACAAACCCCTGCATCTCAGAAGCTAAGCATAACAGTTTAGTTTTTGCTCACACAAAACCTATTTAAGAGTCTAGTAGCTCTCTAGAACAACTCCCTGCCAAAGAGTGAGTCAGGGATAACCAGTCTGCTTTCCTCTGGTTACTCTATCATCTCCAATGTGCCTTTCCTTCATGACCAAGGAAAAGAAGAAGCAGATTTGCACTTGGCTTTTATGGCCAGGAGTAGAGATGGCTTATACCCCTTCTGCCCGTGCTCCTCCCCTACCTGCAAGAGGGGCAGAGAAATGGGGAGGATCATGTGTATATTAACTGTCTTTGTCATATTTTTTCCAATGGAAATCAAAGTGATTTTTGCTATATTGAGCAAAATAAAATAATTCAACTTTTGGCAGGCATACTACTATGTAGTTTCTTTATGTTTCAAGCATGCCTGGAAATGAGAAAAACTTGAAAACACTCTAACATTCTTTTTACTGCTATCAGGCCTAGAGAAATTTCTAGAATTTTAGACACTTTTTTTTTTAGAGATAGAGTCTCATTTTGTCGCCCTCAGTAGAGTGCCATGGCATCACAACTCATAGCAACCTCCAGCTCTTGGGCTTTAGGCGATTCTCTTGCCTCAGCCTCCCGAGTAGCTAGGACTACAGGCGCCCACCACAACGCTCGGCTATTTTTTTGTTGCAGTTTTGCCGGGGCTGGGTTTGAACCCACCACCCTCGGTATATGGGGCCAGCACCCTACTCACTGAGCCACAGGTGCCACCCAAGAATAGACACATTTTAATATGTACACTATAGATCATTTACCTGGAAATACAGGGGTAACGTTCCAGTTGAAAACAAAGCACTGAATAAGAATATTCCCTCAACAGAAAAGCAAATCCTATATAATAAAAAAAAAAAAAGCACAAATAGACAATTTTTCATCACAACTCTATCTGCTCTATGTGACTTTGAAATTTTACAGACTTACTTCACTCAGATTCTTTATATCTAAAGTCAGGATGACAACACCAAACTCCCTGAGGTGTTGCAATTATAAAATGAAAGAGAAGCAATTATGATTCTATGTAATAGCATGTTTTGTTTTTTAAAAAACTGAGCTTTACTGATTTTTATATTCTTTAATACCAAGCAAATGGTACCTTCTTTTCAACCTTAAGAGAAAGCATGTCGGCTCGGCGCCTATAGCTCAACCGACTAAGGTGCCAGCCACGTACACCTAAGGTGGCGGGTTCAAATCCCCAGCCCGGACCCGCCAAACAACAGTGACGGCTGCAACCAAAAAATAGCCGGGCATTGTGGTGGGCGCCTGTGGTCCCAGCTACTTGGGAGGTAGAGGCAGGAGACTCGCTTGAGCCCAGGAGTTGGAGGTTGCTGTGAACAGTGAAGCCACAGCACTATACCCAGGGGGACAGCTTGAGGCTCTGTCTCAAAAAAAAAAGAAATAAAAGGGAAAGTATGTCAACGAATGATCCAGAAAACTTAGAGTATCATCACTACAGTCTTATCTCCAATATCCTGTAACATTCTATATAAATTTTTCTTTTCGTTTTTGTTACCTATCCATTTTTTCTTCCTCATTTTAATCAACTTAGTCCTGACCATCAAGAGAGCTACTAGACTCACAAGTAGGTTTTGTGTGAACAAAAACTAAAAATCATAACTAGATTAAAAAACAAAATTCTAATTATGCCTTTCTTGTCTGCAGTCTTTCGCTACTTCTATGTAATCTGTGTACCCTTAAACATTGCTTTTCTCATGTCACATATTTCTCAGATGTAATCACTACTTACACAGAATTCAAATAAATGTATTTATGTATAATTATCTTAAAAATGATAACTATGGCAATCAGAAGACATATGAGATATACTAAAATAAATATGTTTAAAATAATATAAAAGATATATTTAAAGATTTTATATATATCTTCATATATATCTTTAATATATATTCTTTCTAATCTCTGGAGTACCACATGAGATCATCATTTCAGTATAAGAGTAATGTTTGGTACATTAAGTTACTGTTTATCCTTCCCTTCATCTTAGAGCTGCATTTGCTTTTTTTGTTTTGCTTTTTTGTTGTTGGGGATTCATTGAGGGTACAAGAAACTAGGTTACACTGATTGCATTTATTAGGGAAAGTCCCTCATCCCCCTCCCTCCATCTCTCTCTGCTCTCCCTTTTCCACACCCCCCACTATATGCTAGGTCATTAATTGTCCTCATTCAAAATTGAGTACATAGGATTCATGCTTCTCCCTTCTTGTGATGCTTTCCTAAGAATTATATGTTCCACTTCCATCCACATTAATACAAAGGATATAAATTCTCCATCTTTTTTAATGACTGAATGGTATTCCATGGTATACATATACCACAGCTTGTTAATCCACTCCTGGGTTGAGGGGCATTCAGGCTGATTCCACATTTTGGTGATGGTAAATTGATCTGCAATAAACAGTCTAGTGCAAGTGTCCTTGTGGTAAAAGGATGTTTTTCCTTTTGGGTAGATGCCCAGTAATGGGATAGCAGGATCAAATAGGAAATCTAGCTTGAGTTCTTTGAGAGTTCTCTATACTTCCTTCCTAAAAGGTTGTATTAATTTGCAGTTCCACCAGCAGTGTAAGTGTTCCCTTCTCTCCAAATCCATGCCAGCATCTGCAGCTTTGAGATTTTGTGATGTGGGCCATTCTTGCTGGGGTTAGATGGTATCTCAGGGTGGTTTTGACTTCCATTTCTGTTATAATTAGGGATGATAAGCATTTTTTCATGTTTGTTCGCCATTTGTCTGTCTTCTTTAGAGAAGGTTCTATTCATGTCTCTTGCCCATTGATATATGGGATTGTTGGATTTTTTCATGTGGAGTAACTTGAGTTCTCTATAGATCCTAGTTATCAAACTTTTGTGTGATAAGTATGCAAATAACCTCTCCTATTGTGTAGGTTGTCTATTTGCTTTGGTTGTTGTCTCCTTAGCTGTACAGAGGCTTTTCCGTTTCATTAAGTCCCATTTGTTTAGTTTTGTTGTTGTTGCAATTACCACAGAAGTCTTCTTCATAAAGTTTTTCCCCAGGCCGATATCGTCCAGTGTTTTTCCTATGTTTTCTTTGAGGATTTTTGATGTTTCATGCCTTAAATTAAGTTTTTTATCCATGTTGAATCAATTTTTCTGAGTGGAGAAGAGTGTGGTTCCAGTTTCAGTCTTTTACATCTGGATATCTAGTTCTCCCAGCACCATTTATTTATATTTGTTTGTTTATTTATTTATTTGCAGTTTTGGCCAGGGCTGGGTTTGAACCCACCACCTCTGGCATATGGGGCCAGTGCCCTACTCCTTTGAGCCACAGGTGCCTCCCCCAGCTCTTCTTTGAAGGTTTGAATTCTGATGTGGAGCCATCCAGACCAGGGC